TACACTATAGCTACTGCCCGCATACCGACTACATACCTGGCAAGCGTCCTTTCCTCCAGCGTCGTAGCCAGCGCAGAGCATATTGCTGGTGATTGAGCCGTACGCAGCATTGCAGGCGGAGTTCGTTACGATTGGAACATCAACACACCTAAGTTCAGGGCTGGTATTTCCACCTGACAATATCAACACATTACATTATGCCATAAATCATCTCATGTAACCGTGAATAAAGGTTGGAAACCGACAGCATATAAATGTTTAAAACGTTTACCAATTAAGCAACTGAAAAAATTGGAAACAGGATATCTGTTTTTTACTAACGACTTTAGACTCTACCGCGAATCTTGGTTAATTAGAAATGTAGGCCGAAAATGCTATAAAAAAATTGCCAAAATTGCGTTTACAGCGATACCATTGTTAGTACACGAGTTAGTAGGTACTCGGCTATATAAATACCTTCACTAGTGGTTCCCCAGCCACTGACAGTTGCTGTTCTTCCATCGTACTGATTCCCGCCAGATGCCATTTCAACCAACTGGGTCTTAGCATTGAGAGACACCGGAGTGCTTAGTATCATCGTGGCGATGTCGAAATCAAAAGTCCTCGGCCTGTACGAGCCATGCTTATTCACCTCCGACACCTATGAAGAACATAATCGGTGAAATCATTCGGTATATAAACTGGGGAACGCATATATATATATAGCACTCTACACTAGTTAATAAGTACGAACGTTTGGGATAGTTTCCTAGCGGCACAAACAGATGGGAATGGTGGTAGATAAGAAGAAATGAGTGTGTTAAGTTATTTAGTTTACCTGATGTCTAGTTCCGCTATAATGCCTTGTCGAGCCGACTCTAATTTGGAATCTCCGTGGCGAGCTCTCATATCTGCAAATTTGATCATAGCATCATATCAAAATATGATATCATATATAGTTAACCCGTTACACACTCAACCAGTTAAACGGTAAAAAATCACGAACACAAGAAGAAAACAGTTAAACTGTAGCAAACAATAGTTACCCGTCGCGTTACGAAAGCTTCGGCACAAATATTCGGAATACAAAGCTTCAATTTGTTCTTATGGAGTTTTTAAAAGCGTGAGCGGTATTTTCAAACGAATATACTTAATCGCAGTCAATACAATAGTACGCAATAGTTGCCAACCTCCCGTCTTGGCTAATTTTGAGCGAGGGAAGTGCGTAACTCGCACGTCGTGCTCAGAGTAAATATCATGGTGTGTGCATGCGTGCGTATATGTGCGTGTGCGTGTGTATGCGTGTGTGTGTGTGTGTGTGTGTGTGTGTGTGTGTGTGTGTGTGTGCGTGCGTGCGTGCGTGCGTGCGTTCGTGCGTGCGTGCGTGCGTGCGTGTACAAATTGCAGTTGTGATCGACCCATCGCGGGAACACTGGGGCGCGTAATTAGAAGGATGGATGCGGCCTAACTAATGAGCATCATTATCAGCATCATCACCATCATAATCATCATCATCATCATCATCAGCAGCAGCAGCAGCAGTAACATCAGCAGCAGCAGCACTAGTAGTAGTAGCAGCAGAAGCAGCAGTATCTTCAGCAGCAGTAACTTCATCATCATCAGCATCATCATCATCATCATCATCATCATCAGCAGCAGCAGCAGCAGCGGAGGCTGCGAGGCTGGCAATTAAACACCTAGTCCAGCATCCGCAACACCATCTCCGATCCTCTGCCCTCCCTCTCGCTACAGTTACCGATATATCGGTTAGTTGAGTTGTGTTCCTGTGTTACGTTGAGTTGCCGTGACAACGAGGTAAACACGCTCTCGTGCCGAAGAACGTCTGCTTGATTACTGATGGCCTAGCAGGAAAGACAGCCTGCCCCAGGTAACAGGGACGGACAGGTACGATCTAGCGCAGATGGCCAGGTAATAGCAAGGTAAAATAGTCATCCAGGTATATAGCATGTCGTACATTTGCCCAGGTATATGCCGTACCAGACCCGGACAGGGATGATACAAAAAAGTAGTGCAGGTAACACAGTCGCCCAGGTATGATATAAACACAACCTGACCAGGTATGATACAAAGACAGCCTGACCAGGTATGACAAAACACGGGCAGGTATGATATAAACACAACCTGACCAGGTATGACACAACACGGGCAGGTATGATATAAACACAGCCTGACCAGGTATGACACAACACGGGCAGGTATGATATAAACACAACCTGACCAGGTATGACACAACACGGGCAGGTATGATATAAACACAACCTGACCAGGTATGACACAACCTGACCAGGTATGATGACATCACGTCTATAACGAGTCACGTATACATAAGTCAGTAACCGTTCGCTGCTTCATCAGCTGGAGTGGCAGTAGCGTGTACACTAGAGTGGACACTAGTCCAGGCAGGTATATATATATATATATACCTATATAAATATATATATATATATACCTATATATATATATATATAATATATATATATATACTATATATATATATATA